TTAAGTCGAAAACGTAACGATTTAACTTTTAAACTTAACTTGAATTATCGACTTATCAATTAACTACTTTGACATGAAAATCTCGGAAAAGAAGCCATATTAAATCTATTTTAGTGGGAGGCCAAATTAGTAAAATGCTATGCTATTTAACCCTTTGCACTCCAGCCTAGTAATGCATAGAGGCTATTAGTTCCAAGTACATACCTATGATGTAGAAGAAAAATAGAGTCGTTTCAATAAAACAAAATTTTTATTTCTTAGCTATTTTATAACAAAACATATTCTAACTTATATTATAAAAGAAAAACATAAATTTTAGGACTTAAAATTTCTTAAAGTGCCGAGGCAGCAAAACAACCATGTCGCCGCTACGGCGACAGCGGGGTGCAAAGGGTTAACTTTGCATAGCTCGAAATATGTACGGCGGAATAAAATGTTAACTAACAAACAAGACACTCAAATATACATATATTAATGTGATAATGCGTCCAAGTTTGAAAAGAATGAGGAAGTATGTATAATTAAATACTAAAATGTATTTTGAAAACGTTTCGAAATGATCGGTCGCTTAATAATGCGTTATAATAAGTGCTGGCTATTGTACTGGTATATTAGCGCCATTGTGTAACAGCGAGTTACTAAACAAATAATTCCATAAGTAATCATTAGAATTTATCACCTAATAGCGAAAATATTAAGGAGAGATATAATAAGTACAAAAGCCATAATATCACCCTTTTCTCAATAAAAAGTTGCAAAGTCCGCTGCGAGTTTGATCATATCGAACTATCGTGTTTCGTCAGGTATTCGTTACGCTCTTTGACGTTAAAAAAAAAGTATGAAATGGAACGTATTTTAATTGTGATTCTATATAAATATGATCTTGGAGTAACTTCGGATATCATGTGTCATAGAGGAATAAAATTCCGTCGCTAGCCATATAAAGTGGATCTCTGGTTGAATACGAAGAAATTCACGGCAGGAAGGTAATCTTTCTCTTTTTTCTTTCGCGAAAAGTGATTTTTACATGCCTGTTTCAGGTGTACGGCAGCCAAAGACTGTCGTAACGTGATTCGTGGGTGCGCGTAATTTTCATGCGCAATTTCGTATATAAATAAATGTCATGTGTGAAATCGCGATTTTGCGTTTCCGCGCGGAGATTTTTGCATAGCACGGCCGGAAGTTCAAAGAACTTTTCCCATTAATAATTCCTGTTGAAGCAAGCGTGTGCCACCGGCACAAATTGCGATTCCGAGCACCTCTCCATATGCTTAATACCTCACACATACACACACACAAGCCTGTGTTGGCGTCAAGTGACCTCGTATTGCTTCCATCGTGGAATCTTGCGCGGTGTTCAAAGGGTGAAAAGACTTTAATCTTGGGCGGTGATGCAATTAAAAAAAAGCCGTGTGCAAATGACTAGGCCTTTTAAAGGGTCTTCAAAGGAGTTTCAGGCAGCGACAGTAACAGTAACAAGCAAGCAATATATATACACGCGACAACTTTCTTTTGATCAAAGAGGCTACGTTGTGACTGCCAATGAAACCCGTCCTGCAGCCGTTCTTAGCGCGACCTACTCTTATTCTACGTCGAAGTTTTCGTAATTTTTATCGTAGCCACCTCCCATTTTTCCCGGACGGCGAGAATTTAAACTATACGAGGGATCGGGAAAAAAGGACGCTCTCAAGACCATCTAGCGAAGTTTGTCCTTTGAAAAGAATGTTCTACCTTGTGTTTTCTTAGGTTGGCGGTAGATTGGGGGAAAATCATTCTACGTAAAATTGATTGCGCAGTGCGTCGCAGGACGATCAATTCTAGTTTTCCGTTGTTTTGTCACGGTAATTACGAAATATCGCTTTTAGATAAACGTAAGTAATAAATTTGCGTAACATCGAAAGGAGAAACAAACGTTTACATAAACGCACAGGAATATTTTTAGTTGAGAAGAGATCGCGCATTAAGAATTCACTTTCTCCGATTAGCTATTTTAATCAAAACCAGCGAAAGAGTTTTTGTTTCTGATACATTGCGAGCGCAAAAGTTTTCCAATGCTTCTTCAGTACTCCTGTTGTATCAAACCGCGTCCCAAAGAGTTCAGTTGGAGAGTGCATATTGAAATCTTTATTAAAATCTTTTATCTGATCTGTAAGAAGTTCCCCTGGGATAAGTAGCCTACTTTTCTCCGAAGTTGTTCAGGATTCCCGTGGGAGTCTTTTGACGATCTCCCTTCCTTCATTCTCTTCGGTCTCTCTCCTTCCATTTTTTAATAATTCCACTCGGTATTATCCTGTTCTGCTGATACTTTCTTTCGCAATCAACTATCGTATTCACGCACCTAACAATCGCATTTCATGCGAGCACTCGTAGCGAGTAATCCATTTGTGTGCGGCGAATTCTTAAGCCAGAAATTTCCCCGGCGGTGGTTTTACGGCCGCGGAGGGCCGTCGTCGGCGGCATTTAACATTCCTTTAGCAAAAAGCTGCTCACCGCGAAACGTGAAACTTGAATGTCTCTGGTATTTTGTTGCGGTACACTGCGGGATTATGCGATCTCGCATTGATAATAATAATTCGGTCATCGTTGTTACACTCGGCCGTAATCAGTGTTCGTTTCACGCTCGCAATACTCGCAAGAGCGATAAAGCTGTTAAGTGCGACTTTGTACATCGTTATTGCCCGGATATCCAGGTATCGGGCAAATGTGTTTACGCGTCGAGGGATTAGGCGATTAACAATATGACTGCGACCGTGCACGCGAGTATCGCGTCCTGCGTAATCTTCGGCCTAAGCGATAGAATATTCAGGGGGAAATTTGTAAATTTTATCGATTTAGAGATCGCTCCCGCAAATACGATTTCCATTCGAGGTCATAGTCAGCAACACAAATAATTCCTAGTGATCACACTGTACTAATTACAATCTGATCCAATTGTGTTACCTTTCGTATTATTTTAAAGTTAGAAGTACACATGTGTGTACACATGTGTGTGTGTATATATATACAGTTTTAAATCAGTGTTATTACAGATAATACTTATCGGTCTGCTATTGTAGTTAGAGAATTCCCGATAGTTACCAGTTTGCCCGTAAAATATAGATACGGATTATTACACAAGGGTATATAATCAGTTTTGGCTCTGTTAAATTAACAAACTTGATTTAACGAAATTTAATATTTATGTAGTCCTCGCGGTAAACTGGAGTGCTTGTACCTCGCGTTGATTATCGATCGCCGACCTGTCAATTGATTCGGTGATGGTTCTCGCGGTAACGTTCCACTCGCCGATAGAACAGCGCTTTTGCCGCTTCGCATCGAGCATTATTAATCAAACTTTGTGATAGAGTTAAAAATTCAGGAGCCTCTTCCGCATCGTTCGGTTGAAATATGCAAACGCGATTTCGTGACGTCTAAAATGCATAGAAATGTTGCGAACGTGCTGCGATTCTATCTCGCCGTGCGAATCTCAGCTATTTTCGCGTACGCGAGCTCCTCGCGTCGAATCTTGAAACTTATTTTTTTTTTCGCGGAAAAGCCCGTCAGACTTTTACGATGCGCGAGTTAACGACGCGCGGGAAGAATCGACGGAAGTGCGAGTCGTCGAATAAAACATTCGCGAGGCGCGCGCGCCTCGCGTGTTTTCGCGCGGCTTGTCGGCAGCGAACGGTACGATCTGAATTTTCCATGAATTAGCTAGAACGGTGGGTGCGGAGAATTTCAGCTGCTTCGTGCATCGGATGGTTTAGTTAAACGTGAAGCTCGAATACCGTTTCTTCGTGCGCGTTGCGTGATAGTAGATAAACTGGTAGACAAAAGCTTTATACGGAATCTGCGACTTCACTCTCGGAAAATCGGAAATAAAAAAGAGAAGATAACTATTGCAATTTCTCGTGTGCAATTCAAGAAATATTCGAAAATGATTTTTCCCATGCGTTATACTGTATTAGACGAGAAGGTGATATTATAGCCCTCTATTTATATTTTGTATCTTGAATATGTGTTCCTTAATAACCTTGTTAACCTTGAACGTTGAATTTTGGACCTGTCACTAGATAAAACAGCTGTCGTATACTCCTTGATTAGGTCAGTTTGAACAAAAAAGTCCCGTACCATTTTACAAATGATACGTACATTTTTGAATTTTTGAATTATTAATTAAAGAAGCTTCTATATATGGCCATTTTCGATAATTAATAACTCGAAATTTTGCGTGTTGTTTGCAAAATTATGAAGGACTTTTTCATTCATCTCAATCCGTTCTATGTTCTCATGAAGTTTATCGTATGGGTCCTGAAACACCATATATATATATATATGTATGTATGTATATAATACCATCTTCTCTTCTATTTTAATAAGGAAAAGAATAAAAGCACAGGAATTTTAATTAATGCATTTTGCGTTCGGTATCATGTTTTAACCTAACCGCTGCGGTATTTCCTAAAATCCGTTATCGTGCCGGCTTATGACGTTTTGTAGATCGTTATAGCAAGGTGCTTCAACTTATCCATTATCGAGTCGTAACGGTGAATACCGGGAGCCAGAGAAACCGCAACCGCAGGCAGAGTTTCGTTCGCCGCAGTTCGGAGGAACAGTCGTTCCCGACGAACCTACTGCTTCCGGCAATATCATCGCCGAGCTTCGTACGAAATCGTTCAAAGCCTTAACGTTTCCTTGACACGCGACGTCACTTAAGATGCTGCCATATGTTGCGGTCCGTTTTTTATCCCGTCTTTTCGGCGATTCATCGAGAAGTGGGTGATTATATATCACTTGCGGTACTCGACGTCAGGAAATTATGGTTCTCGCTTGTTTTCGTTGATTAAGAAGAAGAAATGATGAAAAAAATGGTTAATTAGAAGGTTATCCGCTCAACGCTATACAATCTTATTTTAATATGTACATATTGAAAATACTGATCTTCTTAAAACAAGAATGTTCTTCCTTTTGTACGAATAATCCGGACACAATGTATACATACCTGGTCTGTCTGTTTGCAGAGAGGGAGGTCTGGTATGAAGCGGCGACGAGGGCGATCGAGGCGCGGATCAGGGCGGCCGCGAGTTCCAGCGTCAGCGGCACGACGCCGCCTGCCGGGGTGGCGCGAGGCGTCGTCCTCTTCGTCGGCGACGGTATGGGGATGAGCACCCTCACGGCTGCGAGAATCCTCTCGGGTCAACGTCACAATAACCCGGGCGAGGAAGCGCAGCTAGCGTGGGACAGCTTTCCGGCGGTGGCGTTGGCGCGGGTGAGTACAAGAATAAAAATTCTTCCTTTGACTTCTCATTCTTCTGCTTATTTTTTTCGTCTTCCTCTTCGCTTTATCCGCGCCGTTCGGTGACGCCGCACCTAAAACCGACGCTTTACGTGCACTAAATTTCGCGGGAACTATTGGCTTGGAGCACGCAAATTGCCGGCTCGGTCGCGGCGCACGTAAGACCGGCGTTTTACGTGCGCCAAATTTGCGGCGAACCGAAAATTGAAAAATGCCCTTTAATAACGATGCCAATGTCCCGCGAAGCGAATTACACACGCGCGCCAGCCTCGTGTGTATGTGATAATCGTATAACAAGGGAAAATGTCGCACGAACTTTAATTAACAGTGTCCCGCATGCGACCCCTTTGTTATTCGCTACGGTCTGTGCGGTAGTCCGTGTCTTGTACGAGAGAGGCACCTCTTTAATATATATATATATATATATATATATATATAACGCGTCTCTTACCTTTAGTTGGAATTCTTTGACAAATCTAAATCCCCTCGTAGCGGAAATTGGATCGGTCGGCGAGAACCTTATTTTTCAGAACTTAATTTTTCGCATGGAATAACCTGATGCGCGCCGAATTAAAATTCCATTTAAGTCCACGCGCGTAATCAGATGGTGGCGGAAGAGATTTCGCTGTCCATTCGCGCGCTCTCGGTGACGCATCAAACTTTCGTGCCCGATCGTTTTTAATTAAAAAACTATCATTCTCAAGACCCTCCTCCTGATTACGGCCTTCGCCGACGGTGACGCAGTTCGAAAATAGTTAGGCGGCACTTGCCACCACGCGCACCGTCTGAGCGGATCGTATCGCCAGAAGCTATCACGCGGTGGTGTTCTTTTTTCTCTGATCGCGATGCGGATAACTCCGAGAAATCGCTGATGCTCGTCCATAATAAGCGGTGTATGGGCGTGCGCGCTGAAAGAAAAATCCAATGTGCTGAATTCACTTCGTTAAGGGAGCAGGATATTTGCATGCAAATTTAATCGAAATGCGTGTACACACATTTCTACGTGGATTACAGATTGCATACGCGTATTCGCATTTTAATTAAGCCCGCGGTCAAGCGCTGGCGCGTATATTTTTCTCCCCTTTTTTATCTTTTCTACGTTTTGCTGGTCGTTCGCTGACATCTTGCGTCCCTTTCGCAAATTACAAACGGATATCGCGCTGAAAAACCGCGTCGCACTTGGTTTTATCGCAGTTTAATAACGTAGAACGAGTCGGTCCTGTTTTATCAAGAATCTCGTTCCCAACTTTTCTAAATCCAGTCGCTCGATTCTCCCATCCCGTAGCGACGCCGTGTTACTCTTTCGCGTCGGCCCTCTTTCGAATTTTCCTCCATTTTCCCCGGAGGCCAAAGGTATAGCGGTCCGTCGGAAACTTTCGCCCGAAGATCCTTCGGAACCACCTCTATGTTGCTTGGAGATTTGCTTATTACGGCCAGTCCTTCGTCCTCGTCGGAACGAAATTGTGGAGATTTATGGCAAGTTCTTCTCCTTCCTTCATAATCTTAAATTATTAGTTTGATAAAGTAAAGATTATCCGGGAGCGAGAACATTCAAATATTTCCTTTGATGTAGTGAGTAGCACAGAATAATTGTACCGGGATATTGTCTTTCTCACCCGTCCCTTTATCGAACGCGCTTATTATTCCGGGCACGTTTACCGTACCGGGGTATCGATCTTGGTCTCGTAATTAAAAGTGACGAAAGGTGTTTATTTTTTACAATTGTACGCGACGGAAATATATGTAGGCTGTGACGCGCGGGGTAATTTAATTTGGAGAGAAGGTGCTTTATTTCGCTATAAGACGTTTCGCGAATGGGCTCGTAGCTCCTTCGAGATTCTAAGAGTATTCTTTTCGAATTTACCTCATTTAGATGTAAATTAAGTAAGCCGATTTATTTCACGTGATATATTTGGGAATCTATTTTGATAATCAAGTGGGAAACTATTTATCTAGGGAGAACTGATCTCGGTGTCTCTCTCAAATATTTAAATAATCACATTTTATCTTTTATAATCATCCCCGATGTAATTATTAAGATGTATCAGGACCTTTGTCGGGAGCAAAAAATCGATTTTTTTACATTTTCTTATGAAGTAACTCTTTATGAGTCTTCTGCCAAAAACTGGAGGTCGGAATGTTATTTTTCATACCAATAACATAAAATAATGAAAGTAGAGTCAGAGGCGAATTTCGCGAATTTCAAACTTTTCTCTTAAAGTTTAAAATGCAGTTTAACTCATCTGTGAAGATCTATCGGAAGATAATTATTTATGTATCTTCAGTCCTCGATGAACAATCAGCGTTTTGGTGAAGGCCCGTTTTTCCGCATGCAAATATCCTGTTACCCCTTAAACGTCTACCGGGATTTAACAGTTTCCGCGATTTTTAGTTATTCGCCATGTTTCTTACTTCTCATTTCAACAAAAGCAACGAAGAACTGTTTGTTATTGTCCATTGTATTGAGAACAGTTTTGGATTGATGTTCGCGCGCAATATTGCGTAGTGCAACAATTCTGCAAAACACTGTAATCCGCTTGACATCAACGAGCGCTTTTAGTCTCGAAATTATAAGCGGCGTTACAAGCAATCCGCTGTCGAAAGTTGTTTTCTGTAAGGGGATTCAAAACATCATGGATGATATTGGTGTTTGCGCGTGAATGTATGGTCGAGTACACGCGTTATCTCTCACGTATTCGCTCGGATTTCTCTCGGCATCGCTCTGCGATTCCATGTCCACCGTATCGCACAGCCTTCCTGAACTTACCGAGAGAACGTCGAATACGCGAAACTTTTCAGCAAAGTTCGCGAGGATTTTGCTCGTCTGCTTCGCATTGATTAGAGATCTGCTTATTATACGGTTGATGTAACTCTCCTTTTCGTCCTCTCGAGTCGAAGTATTGAATCGAGAATTTTTTGGATTCACGAGAGTTTCAGGAAATGCACGTAAAGGAAAACGCGAATATAACGGTTGGCCTCGGTTGGAAATTTCTCTTTTCTCGATCATCCAGTTTGATCTTCGGTCTCTACGATCAAATTTGTGAGGACGCTCGGAGATGTTATATTCTCGAACACGCTATGCACTTTCAGCTCGCGTGCTTCTCTCGGGCTTAAGTTGCTTTTACAGCGAGGTAATTTGCATGAACATCGATCATTTATCTTTGCGTTATCTTCGAACGGCGGAGGGTAAATATTTTTCTGCGATTCTGCGAATTGAAGTGAACAATTTTCGCCTTAGCTGTCCCGCGACGCGCGGAACTTATTCTTTACCTCGTAATTTTTCCTGGTCTTTGTCAAGTGGTATTATCGTCCGTCGCTCCTTCCTTTCTCTCTTCTTTCTTTCTAGCCATCTCTGGTGCTCTTCTCTCAGAGAGATGACACACCTGGAAAGCGTTGTTGGTCGGAAACAAAGTTTCTCGGGTGGTCCCTTGAGGATTTTTCCGGAAGGGCTCCGCGTTGATAGGGGACTTGTTTATTTTCGCGTAAGCGGGACGCCATAAGCAACGATCTATGAACGAAAACAAAGTACAAAGCACATGCGTAAATATGTGTCCTAGAGCGCCATATATATATATATATATATATTTAGCTTGAAGTTAAGGAGTTTGCTTAGCGTTCAATTACTGTAGCTAAATTTGTACAGCGTAATATGCGGGATCTGTTTTATCGTAATAAATAAAGGACTTGCCGGTTGCGTTAAAAACCGGTGAGTTGTTTCCATTAAAAATTAATTTTCACAAATTGCTATAAAATCACTCGTAGCACACCCCATTTAAAGTACATCTCGTTAACGAGTACAATCCCGATTTAAATCATGATAAAAACATTTTGCTAGATTTTATATCTACCCAATACGCGTTTTCATACTTATATTCGTATTCGTGATATTTTTTCCTTTATTTGAATTTTATAGCCCGTTTCAATTTTTATTCATGAAAAATTCTCATTTTATTACACACAACACTTCTCTCCCTATAATATTTCACGTATATTTCGTTACGTCGCTAAATACTAATTATTGTGTTATATAAGAAAAGCATCACTAACGGGAAAAGATGTCACGCCATTTGTAACTATCATTCGGTTTTCCGGATGTCACGAGCAGCACGCGAACGAGTGTCAAACCTTGAACGCGGGGACACCAAGCTATCATTAAATTACACGACACCTGCACTGATTAGGTGTATGTACACTTCGACGGTAACGTGCATCGTCGGTGTAACGATTTATCGTCGAAACACCTAGCGTGTGACATTTATCAGGATAATAATTAATTGTGGGTTACGCAGGCACGCTGACTAATGGCTGATCCGCCGTGGCGCATTAAACCGACATCGATCATGCACGTATTTGTTATCTTTGAAATTCTTGCGAAATATGTATAAATATAAATCGCGGCGCCGCGGCGGCTGAAGACTAGCGGCCGTACTTTCGAAAACACAGCCGGTAGGCTAGATTAGTCGTTCCGGATGCCTGGCGAAATTAAGGTTCGACTTCATCCCCCGACTTTAGCCCGCGTGAATTATGTCCGAGGTAATAGACTCCGCGATAACTCATTTTGAAGCCTTTCGTGACATCACGTGGGCAGGGATTAATCCTCCATGACTCTTCGTTAACAGAGTTATTAATAGCCGGATCATGCACGAGGTCGAGGCCAAGTATTTCGGTGCGATCTTTCGTGAAAATATTATGCGATTGATTAATATCGTCACTAATGCATGGCAAATTAAGTGTGAGCTAATTTCGGCTCATTATAAATTAATGTCGTGTATAATAAGCTAATGAGCAAGCCGTGCATATATATGCGGCGATTAATTAGTGACTAATTATACACGCGTGCTCGGTTGTTCTTATAACATATTACGCGTATGTGTCCCAGCGATCAATGGACGCAGAAAAGTCACACTAAAATTAGTTAAGGAGATAATGATATTTTCCTTTTTTCCGTTTTAATTAGTTATTTGGCTTTCATT